TATTCGATCGCATACATCATTCTATTCAATTATACTTACAAATATACTAAATAAGTGTGTTTTAAGCTATTTTTCTTGGCCTAAATTAGTATATATTTTTTTAATGTAAACTTCCCAACCAAGTCCAAGTTAATATTTAGGTCTTTTAGAGTTCATAGGAAAATTAATTGGTGTTTTATTCAATCTTTAAGGTCCCCGCTTTTTGGTTAAAAAAGTTGGAGTTTCGGGGCACAAATTGTAAAAGCAAGGACCTTAAAAATGGGTTTCAAAATTCTTTTCAGCATAAAATCATTTTTATCTAACCAGTCAACTAACCCAGGTGGTTGGGTATTAGTTTGAAAAAACTGTTGAAAAATGACTCACCCTAATATACATATACATATACATACACACACACACACACACACACACACACACACACACACACACACACACACACACACACACACACACACACACACACACACACACACATATATATATATATATATATATATATATATATACACACATATATATATACAATATATGCAATGAATAAAATCGCCCAGCGGGATATTTCATGCTCATAAAACTGAAACATGTTATTAATGAGTGCTATCTCATCAAGTTTCCAAGAGCAATATTTAGGGTTAGAAATAAGTTCCCATGGGGTCATCCATAAGTTACATATGCAGGTATGGGGAGGGAGTCATTCAAAAGTGTACCAGTGCATACAAGGAAAAAGGTGGACAATTTTTTAACTTTTTTCATGTTAAGTGGGGGAAATTAGACATAAAAAATTTTATGTTACTGCAGCTTTGATATTAAATTAAAAAAGTGAATTATTGCATTGTTTTATTTATTTTATAGCCTCTCAAAAACTTAAATTTATTTCAAATAAGTTTTCACAGTTGAACTATTATTAAAAAAGTATTAATCATAAAAACCAAATTTAAAAAATTTTTTTTATAGATTTTCATTTAACTTATTACTAAAATTATTTCAACAAAGTATGTTATTACTATAACTCTGTCATTAAAAATTTGAACTCATGATTTGTTCTCATCCCACTTTCCAAATTTGCACTTTTAATTTTTTAAAATTCTATCAAGTTTTAATTTTATAAATTAAATTTTTTATTCTCATTTGAATGAACATGTTTTGAAAATAGTAAACATTTCATTATCTGGTAGCGGTAATGACTTCATAACTTTCCCTTCATTGTTTGTTCAAAACAGAAAACTGCTTTCTAATTTAAACTGAATGCGCAATTTAATTATTATCAAGTGAGTTATTTTTTATATACTTGATTATATACTTGATAAATATATAATAGACTTATATAAGAAACTTATACTAATATAATATACATTAGTGTAAGTGTGTGTGTATATATATATATATATATATATATATATATATATATATATATATATATATATATATATATATATATATATATATATATATATATATATATAAGTTTCTTACATCAGTAAAAACCAGGTCACGAAGGCATGAAAATAATGATCTTACATTTTTTCTTTTTTTATTTGTTTGAATATGTTTCCCAGAGTTTTAATAAACAAAACATATAAAAAATAATAACAAACAGTAGAATCCCAATAATCCTCTGAAGAGATTTATTGTTAGTTCTGTTTAGCTTCAACTTTTTTGATAAATAGACTTTAATGCAAGCTTGATTAATTTAAAGATATCAGTGAAAATGATTTAATTTGTTAAATTTTATTTGACACAAAAGTATTTAATATTCAAACGTTTTGAATTTTATTTGATGTTTTTGAATTTTTAATACAAGAGTTGTTAATAAATAGAATACGAACTAACCTGTACGAAATCAAAGCTATAAATGAAGTTTTAGTTTAATAAATTATTATAGGTGAAATACTATTCTAGATATTTCATTTTTAGGCATTCAAAGTTTGGAACTTTTTTTGAAGTGTTGCAAGTTTTGATATTTTATTACATGGACTTTTATGTAATTCAAAGTTAAAGTCTTAAATAAGCAAAAATTTTTGACAAATGGACCCAAAAAAATGAGTTAGCGAATGATTCAACTTAACCAGGGAACGATTATGAGATAATATGATATAGTTAATCAAGAACTTTAAAAAAAAACGTCATCCTGAATTTAATTTTCAAATAGAAGAAATAAATCAATGGCTCTCTTGCATTGAGATTTTTAATTTTAATTTATGCATGACGTACTTTACAATGAATATAAATGGCTTTAAAGCTCAACATTTTTTTTTTCTCAATATCTTACTTAGGTAGTTAGCTTTGTGAGATTCGGACAACTCTGATCACTTACACTCATTCCTTAATTGGTACTATGACCCAAGCTTGTGTTCAGTTTCCTTGACTATGACCCTAGCTTGTTATTAGTTTGCTTGATTTGACCCTAGCTTGTGTTCAGTTTCTGCTTTTTTCAGTTTCTGATTTTATTTCTAGAAATCCAAAAAATACTGTCTAATAATAAGGTTTATTATTCTCAGATAAATAAATCTCAATTTTATCTCATAAGTTAGGTTCTAGAAAAACTTTGAAAATCTTTAAAAATGTCATTAACAAGTCAAACATCATTCATACATTGGTCTGGAACTTACTATCTCTCAAAAAGATAGAACTATATGTTATGTATGTCATCAACAAGTTAGAACTATATGTAAAGAACTTTTCTTCTAAATCAGAACTTAATGACTTTCATTAATTTTTTCATTAATATAATGACTTTTAACTTCTAGTTTCTTAAACCTAATGACTTTTCATATTTACTTTTTCTCATTTTAAGCCTATCAACATGCTTTTTGATAATCAATTTCAACCCCCTTGTTCTATTGCTATTTTCTTGTCCCATTATTTTAATTTTTAACTAAGGAAAGTTCTGTTGTGCATAAGCAAATTCATCAATTATATCAGTATAATCAATATTCAAAGTTAAATTGTTTTCTATTGATAATATAAATATTCAAAGTTAAATCATTTTTTATTGATAATATAGATAAGACGTTTTAATATTGTTCTTAAATACGATTTTAATATTTTCATAAATAAAAAGCTTATTTCCACAGAAAAGTTTGTTAAATGTGTGCACAAAATAATTCTAAAATTTATACTTATATTTGAAAATACAGTTTCTTATTTCTTGCTACATATTAGTTTATTAAGCTTATTAATGTTTTGCTTTTTGTTCCCTTTTTTTCAAATTTTTTGATAAACTATATATCTTTAGCTTTAAATTCATAGTATACATTTAAAATTGAATTTATTAATTAAAAACGATATATTTTTAGCTTTAAATTCATAGTATACAGACATTTAAAACTGAATTTATTAATTAAAAACTATATATCTTAAGCTTTAAATTCATAGTATACATACATTTAAAATTGAATTTTATTAATTAAAAACGATATATCTTTAGCTTTAAACTTATAGTATGCATACATTTAAAATTGAATTTATTAATTCAATGATCTGTATTACTCAACAATAAATGAAAATCAATTTCTATTGATTGTAACTTAAAGTGTTTAAAATAGATTTCCAAAATGCCATCATAAAAGCACATTTGAGACAACTCATTTGATTATTAATATTTTGCACTTGGCTTCTACATTAGGAAGAATCAGTTATATATTCTCTCTCAGTTTTTCTACAAAACTTTACAAGCATCATCTGACAAGACCACCTTATATCAGTAACAATTTCAATGGTTTGTCCTTTTATAAAAGTAGTTAACACTAACCAATCACTTTTAGATGAAGAAAAAAAAAGTTTTTCAAGAAATTGAAAAAAGATGCTGCATCTTTACAATAATCTGTCCTAATTTTCCTATTAAGTTCAATGAATGTGCTGCGTAAGGTATAAAATGTGTTAGTTATATTCATAATTTGTGCTTTTAACCCTGAATATATTTCAGACATATTACTAGCATAATCATAGGATTGTCTTCTTAAATTTTTATTTTTTATTTGTTTGCATTTAAATATTGTATTATTTCTCTTTCCATATCTTCTTCTTTGTCCTACATTTTCAAAAACCTTTAAAAAATGTTTCTTGGGAACTAGGAACTAGGGAACTCCATTTTTGACATATCTAATAACCAAAGCATGTGATCAGTATGTAATAGAGTAAAATGGGGTCAAATATATATAATATCAGGAGTCAATACTAATTAAGTAGTATTTTTTTCTTCTTTCAATTCATTAAGTTTTATACATTTGGCCAATAATATAACAAATTCTTTAAATATGATTGACAAAAAATAGAATTAGCAGCTAAAAATGAGTCAAATTCAACAATTAACTCACATACCATTAAAAAATAAATGTTATTGATTATTTTCCAATTTTTGCTTTCAATAATTTGAGTTTTTTTTGTTTTTAACCTCAAAAATGAAAATAAATCTTTACGAAAGAGATAATGAAAAGAAACTTAACAAAGTTTTTTTTATAAAAATATTTTATATCAAACTATTTCCCTGCAAGTCTAGATTTGCTCTGAGACGTCTATACATTCAATTTTGTATACAACAGTGAATTTAGAATTGTTTGGTAAAATGTTGTTTAATAAAAACGTACTACCAATTATAAAAGTTGTAAGGACTAAACTTATTTTAATGTTATCTTTAAATACTTTATACACTACAGTATAATTACTATACAGTATAGTAATATTTCAAATTTGATTTCATTTAAACAAGCATAATACTAGTTTAAATAAAATCGAGTTTGAAATTTGCCCCACATAAGAAGGTTTAAAGTAATCTATATCATAAGGTTTATCAATTGAACCTAAAGGAAGAGTTTTTTAGAAACTTTCAATATCTATATAAAAACGTGATATCTAAAAGCCCTTAGTTATTATTTTATATAATATTACTCATAGTACCTTATTAGTTAGAGTATTATCAATTTTTAGTTTACAATTGGTATTAGTAAACCATTTGAAATTTTTTAATACAATTTATATTTCTAATTATTATTGTAATATACCTTATCTTGGTCATCAATTTCTGCACCTTGTCCAATAAGAAGCTGCACAAGCTTTAGTTGGTTGTTACCAGCTGCAAAATGCAGTGCTGATCTTCCAATAGCACATTTAGCACTAATTTGTTCTGCTGAACGACTTAACAGTAGACTTGTCACTACTCCATGACCTTCTATTATTGCCAAATGAATTGGCAATAGGCCCTATATTAAAAAAGTAAACACTATCCTATTAGTTTATCTTTTATTTTATTGAAAATTTAGTTTAATCTATATAACAAGTTATTATAAGGAATATTTGCAAATACAACCAGATTTCTATTTGGTATTTATTTTTTTATCATTTTGGTTAAGTTTAAATAAAAATGACATTAAGTTCTACTTTATATAAAATACTTATCCAATACAATCAAGCAACACAGTCAGGTTGAGAAAAAAATTTATTCTAAAGTGTGTTCTTTGTTATAAATATTTACAACGTACCTTTTTAGATGTTCGGTGGTCAAACACAACACCATCTGAATTTAGAAGAAGTCTAACAGTTACCTCATGCCCATTTTTTGCTGCCAAATGTAAACATGTGAATCCAAACTAGAAAAAATATTCAATAAACTATCCTGATAATAGCCATGAGATAATAAATATGATAATCATTTCTCTATTTATATGCCTTGCCTCAGTTTTAGCTGGATTTTTACCAACAGGACACTAAAAATAAATAATTGAGTTATTTCAACTAAATCAAGAAAAGAAAAAACAAATAATAGAAGTCTGAAGAATAAATTTATTTAATTTTGACAGGTATTAGAGACCAGAGTTAGTTGACTACAGTTTTAGCTTTTAGTTTCTTTTTAAAAAAGAAACTTAAAAAAAAAAAATGTTTATTATTAACTTAATTAACAACTTAGTACTATCTGCATTATAGATATATATCTATCGATAGCTTTTAATAAGGAATACTTTATTTCGCAAAAACTACCAGACTTTGTTTTTTTATCATGTCTTTTATCTACCTCTGGTCATTTTTTGTTTGTTTAAAATAATGATATTGAATAAATAACCTGATAAATTTCATTAAAATAAATTAAAAAACAAAGCATAAAGATTATTAAACCTCACTAATGACACTTGGTGGTATTTTTAACATAAGATCAGCTAGACATCCAGATTGATTGTACTCTGCAGCAACATGAAGAGGAGTCATTCCTGTCTTCAAATATATTTAAAAAAAAAAATTATAAAAAAAAGGAAAACATGAGTAATAAAAATAATAACAAAGATAAAAAATTCAAACAAAAGTAAAAATAAAATTGTTTTTTATTAATAAATTCTAATATTTAACATACTTTAGAGCTTGCAAAATTGAATGGAATTCTTCCTTTAAATGCCTCAATAGCATTTTGAGAACCATACTGTGCAGCAAGATGAAGAGCAGTTGACCCATCTTTGTCTTCTTCTAACAGTGAAACACCTTGATTTATAAGCAGCTGTATAACTTCAATGTGATCACCTATTGCTGCTAAGTGCAATGGTGTCCTCATGGTAGACTGAAAATTTAAAAATATAAAATATTATGATTGTTTTCTACCCTTATTAATTTATGATTTAAAACAATTGAAGCTTTTTAACACCGTTTCTAAGAGAAATCAAAATTTGTTTGAATAAATAATATAAAATTTGTTTGAAAGTTATCATTAGTTTTTTTTAAAACCATTAAACTAAGTTTTAGATTTGTATTTTCATTAGGAGATAACCAAAAAAGTTGCATAGCCACTACAAAGAGACATGACCAAAAGGAGACAAAAGCAAAAGCACATGGTCTTTTAATTAGCATCATTATATAAAAGAAAAAATTTAACAGAATACAATGAGTTAATTATTTTATTAACAAAATTGCAAAAAAATCAGTCTTAAAACCATATTTGACTATATATGTGAAACAGGTCTGGTTGCATAAAAAACAGGTCAACAAAAGTAATTAAACTATTAACTTATAAGTTATTATATATTTTTAATATTTAATTTCCTCTTCTTAAAATTCTCTAGAATCTTCTAGAATATAACTATTACAAAGTTCGATAAAAAGCCTCAAGAAAAACCTCAGGGTTCAAAATAAAAAGTTTATCATTTTAACTTATCTAGAGCCTTGAAGATTAAATGGTATTACAAAAATGCTGAACATTTAGTAAAAAAATTCAGAACTTTATAAGACATCGATTCTATTATTTTTTTTATTCAAGTCATTAAGCTTATTGTAACTTGGTATTACTGATCACAACAAGCATTTTAATATGAATAATACATATAGTGAAGAAAATTCAGAACTTTATAAGACATGGATTCTATTATTTTTTTCACTTAAGTAATAAAGCTTAATATAACTTTGTATCCCTGGTTAAAACAAGCATTTTAAAGTAGGTTTTAACCTTTTCTGAACAAACTCCTAACAAATCTTAAAACTATTAAAAGTCAAATTAAAACTTATCTTACCTTACTTTTAGAGTAGGCCATTGCATTATTTACTTTTATAAGGGATTTTATGACTTCAAGACTACCTTTGGCTGCAGCTATATGGGCACAGTTATTACCATCCTAAAAATAAATTTCATTCAAAGAAAATTAGAAGCACTTAAAATATTACAAAAACATAAAATGCTGCTTAAATATTTTGAGCAAGCACAGTCCAGCATACTCAAAATAACATTTGTTTTTAAATTAATTTGAGCATGCATATTAAATGGTTAAAATACCTTAAAACAGTTTTACATACATATATACATACATACAAAAAAATTTTATACTACCTATACTTTATTATAAGTTTATGAATTGTTAAAATTTAAAAATTTTAAATTGAGCTTATTACAATAAAAGTGAATGTTACTACCTTGTTAATAAAACTTGCTAAATCAGGTCGTACATCTAAGAACATTTTGACAATATCAGAATGATTATTTTCAGCTGCAAGGTGTATAGATGCAGCCTGATTCTACAAAAAAAAAGTCACACCATTTCATAAATGTCACCATTTCACCATTTCATGTGCCACACTATTTCAATGATGTAAAATAATAACTTATAAAATACACAAACTGTAAAAATAACTTATAAAATACACAAAATATGTATTGACAATCTACAATTTCCTGAAACAATTTTTAACAATGTGCGCTAATTCTATGGCAGACTTACCATATCAATCATCATTGGATCAGCACCTAATTGAATCAAAGTCCTGCATGAATGCAAATGCCCATTTTCTGAAGCCATGTGTAGTGCAGAGCGTTTTGTCTAAAATTCATAAAACATTTTAAAAAGCAAATTTCAATGTTAAAGACATGAATTTTAATTAATGTGTGAATTAAGAACAATGTGCGAATTATGAATAATGAATTTTAATTAATTATCTATCTTCTCACCAAAGATTGAATGTTATATGAAGCATGGTATTTTTTTACAAGCATTTCAACAAGCTGACTATGACCATTAGCTGCAGCTAAACTAACAGGAGTTTCTCCAATCTATAATACCAAATGTAAATAAAAAAGTTTGTTTTAAAAATTAAAAAATGCAAAACAAACAAACATCACAAACTTAGTTGCTAACTAAGTCACTTCTTGACTAATTTTTCAGACTATAAAAACTCAATATAAATTTTTGACAAAATGTATGATTTTTTCTCAGCAATTTTAACTTTTAACTGTTATATAATGATTATAAATTGTTTTTCAAATTTGCTTTCAAACTGATTAAGTAAAATGACTTTCATAATCATAAATATCTGTGAATAAATATTATTTATTTACAAATTTACTATTCCTAAATATGCTAATAAATAGTTTGCGTCGTATTTAAATCAATCAATTAAACAATATCAATTTAAAACAACCTAGCAGTGTTATCTTAACAATTTTATCTTAACATCAACAACATATAATAGAGTGAATAAAACAATAACCTTTGTTTTTGCATCTACAAATGCTTTTTTTTCCATCAACATTTCCACACATAAAATATGCCCATTCTCGCAAGCTAGATGCAGTGCTGCTTTTCCATTCTAAGACAGTTATAATCATTGCAATTTTAATTTTAATTTATATAAAGATAGTAGAAACTATTTATAGGGTAAATTCACCTTGTATGTAAATGGGTGAAGTTACCTACTTATCACTTTTTATACAAAGCCAGGCATAATAAACCATAAGCTAATCAAAGGTTTTTCATTCATTTTGCTTTGGAAAATGTTTCCTCATTATTAAAAATTTAAACAAAAATTTAACCTCGTCAAAGTAATCCACTCTTGCTTCATTTTCTAAGAGTATACGAACAATACTTGGATGGCCATAGTAGCAAGCAACAAGCAAGGCAGACCACCCCACCTGATAAAAACAACTAAATATAATTTATTTATTTTTTTTAATACTTTCTTATTAAACAAGAAAAACGTACTTACATTATTTGTTAGATTTGCAGCCTTTGAGCTCTCTTTAGTAGACAAAGAAGCAAAAAGCATTCTAAGTATGTCGGCGTTACCATTCTGGCAACAATAATGTATTGGGGTTTCATTAGTCTGAAAATGAATGAATATATATATATATATATATATATATATATATATATATATATATATATATATATATATATATATATGTATATATATACATATATATATATATATATATATATATATATATATATATATATATATATATATATATACATATATATGTATATATATATATATATATATATATATATATATGTGTGTGTGTATATATATATATATATATATATATATATATATATATATATTAGGTTGGGTCACTTATGAAAAATTTTTGAATTTAAGTTTGGCTGGCTATTTTTCTTGTCTTTGACCATATGATACTGAGAGCCAATTCTCTTTTTTTTTTTTTGCATTTAATGTTTAGTCAGGTAATTTTCAGCTTTAAAATATTAGTTTTATCGTAAATATTTTGTTTTCCCAATGTTTTATTGATTTTTATAATATTATCAAACCACTCTTAATCAAATCAATGCCTCAAACTAAACCTATTTTAACAATAAACATGTCAAAATATATAACAACTAAGGGGGTAGAAATAGAAATGGGTAATAAATAATTTTGGTTCAATATATTGATGACGTATTTCTTTTTTTTTACATAAGCCAAATTCAGATCACTAGCAACAGTTTTGTTAATTAATAAAAGGAAGAAATAATTATGCATGGAAATATTGTATAAAAATAAGTGTAAAGTTATAAAAGCTCAAAAAACTTGTGATAAAGTAAGATGTAAGTTAAAAAGCTAATTGGTACCTGTATCTAATAGCTAATAAAAGCTAATAAAAGCTGTATCTAAAAGCTACCTGTATCTAAAAGCTAATAAAAGCTAATTGGTACCTGTATCTAATAACGTTTTTCCTGTAGGAAAAACGTTATTAGAGTCAGAACTATTAACTTTAGAGATGTGTCAAGATTCTTTCATAGTAGGATTAAAGAAAATGACAAAGATTTAAAGCAAACTTCTGAAAAATTGTTTTGAGATAGCTAGGTGTAAATGTTCAATAAAATCATGCAAAGAATCCAATTGTAATGGCTGCAACCAGATTTTTTATATTCTTTGCAAATGTTTTTAAGATAATAAATTCCTATTACTGAACTTAAATTTTTAAAATCGCAGAGGATAAAGTTGGATCTAAAAATAGAATGCAAATAAGTTCAGTTGATAGAAAAAAAATATCAAGACAAAAAAAATATCAAGACAAAAAAAAATATCAAGAAAAAAAAAAATATCAAGAAAAAAAAAAATTATCATAGTTGAAAGCAAAACAAATCAAAGAGAGTTTGTATCAAAAATGAACAGTATTCTTATGTATTATCTGAAAATGATGCAGAATCAGACCATGTTGTCAGCATTTAGATTTGGTATAATTAACAGAGCACTGCAACATTAAAAGCAGCCAAGGACGCAGATTTTTTAAAAGATCATATACCTAATAAAGGCCTAGCTCAAGATCATAAAAAATCAAAGATAAAAGCAAAGAGTAAGCAAAGAGGGCTGTAAAGTGAAGCATAAACAAACATCAAGTTAAAGAAGAGGGCATGAAAATGTATAATGTTCAATTGTCGAAAGGACCTTACAAAAAAAAATGTATATGGTAATGTTGGAAAATCCATCAAAATCCATCTCAATGAGAGATCAAAAAAGATCATTATAGTGTCTGTACTGAGCCTGGTAGAAAAATATTTATTCCACTTTGTAAATAATTTAAAGGAGAGAGATATTCGAACACCTGCTGAATATATTGCTGAACAACTGCATGATTAGATAATATCACATGGCATTGAAAACCAATTAGTAGAAATTGGTGGAGATTCAACCAACCTTAACACAGGTTTTATTTTGATTTCTTTAAATAGTAATTTAATTTTTTATCTTCTCATATTTTTTACTGACAATAAAAAATTATTATAGACTGGAAGGTTCAATATTTAGAGAAAAAACTAGGGTTCAAACTACTCTGGATAAGTTGTGTGCTAGATACCTACGAGTTGCCACTAAGGCATTTAATGTTAGCTTTAAATAGAAAAACTCTAGCTGAAAATAGATTCTCAGAAAACATTAGAAAATTAATTAACATAGCAACAAATTTTCCTGTTTCAACATACATTTCTCGGCTTGATTTTGTTGTATTCATTTTAAAATATATTTTTTTTAACATCTTCACTTCCAACAAGGCTGCAAGCAGCCACTATTTGAGTTACTGAAAGAGAAAAGATAAAGATTGTAGAGAAAGTTAACGATTGACAGACAATTTAAAAGATTGCAAACTATATACATCAGAAAAGCAAGATGAAGAAAACGAATTCCAAAAAACTGGTGTTTGAGGAAAAAAACTAGAGATATAAGAGTTTTTGGAGCACTTAGGAACAGTCACAGAAAAAAAAGGAGACTTAATTGAATGATGAGAAACACGAGAATGAATATTAGTAGATGGCACAAGCAAGAGATGCTAGATCTTTAGAGCAGTGCCCATTATAGTATTTGTAGAAAAGAGAAAGAGAAGCAACATTACGACAATGTGATAATGGTTAGAGTTTGGCTGCAAGAGCAGGTCCAACTATGTTTACAATGGGTTTTTTCACCTTGTCTAAAAGAGAAAGGACATTATTAGAAGATTTGCCTCAGATATGGCAACAGTACTCCATACAGGGACGTATTTGCGACTTGTAGAAATAAAGAATAGAATCCGAAGTAAGAAAGTGTCGAGTACAATAAAGAGATGCAACATTAGCAGATGCTAATTTTGCAATAGATTTGATATATGGTTTCCAAGAAAGATCGGAAGTAAGAGTTGATCCTTGAAGATGAAAGGTAGATGACTCATTGAGTACATTACTGATCATAAATATAGGAAGATTTAAATTATTGTGATAATAATTGGCTAAAAAAAATTGAGTTTTAATGTGTGAATTAAAGTTCGCCAGCCACTGTGAGCCCCATGCTGTAGCAGAAGTGAGATCTTTTTCAAGCTCAAACGCCCCCCTCTAAGCATCAGAGAGCGTTAGCTTCTTATCATGACAAAAATAAATGGTAGTATCATATGCAAACAATGCCACCTTAGATGTGAGGACTTTTGGAAGATTGTTGATGTAAATTAAAAAGAATATAGGGCTAAGGTTTGAACCTTGAGGAACCCCTGAGGTTATAGAATAAAAAACAGAGTGCTGTCCATCGTGGACAATTTTTATACTACGATTGGAAAGAGAGGATTCAATAATCTTAAAGATATTACCAGATACACCACAAGAATAAAGCTTATGGAGGAGACCAGCATGTCAAACTTTAGCAAAAGCTTTAGAAATGTCAAAAGCAATGGCCTTTACCTCTCTACCTTTACCTAATGCATGATAAAACCTATTGGTTATTGCTATTAGCAAATCATCTGTAGAACGAGAAGATCAAAATCCATTTTGATGATCAGAAAGTTAGTTATTAGATTCAAGATGAGAGATTAGGTGTTTGTTAATTATAGATTGAAAAACCTTGCTTATGATAGGAAGAAGACTAATGGGACAAAAGTTAGACAAAACAGATCACTCTCTAGAATTTTTGAAAATAGGGACAACAGACAACTTTCCAGCAGGTTGGAAAACAAGACTCTGATAAGAACTTGTTAAATAAATTTGAAAGTGCAGATGACAGCTCCAGAGAACACTTCTGCAAGACTATAACAGATTTATTGTCCAAACCACAAACTGTAGAAGAGTCTATGCAGAAAATTACTTTAGATACAAAAGCTGGAGTGACACGAATATCAAGCAATTGATCAACCTGTTTGACGGCTATATCAGGTAGAAAAGAACTTGTGAAATCAAGAGATAATTTTGATGAAAAGTTCTTAGCAAACAATACAGCTTTGTCTTTAGGTGAGGTGACAAAGTCTAAACCATACAAGAGAGGTGGAATAACAGATTTGCCCATACTATTGATACTGTTTAAGATTCTCCAAAAATTATGAGCCTAATTTTTGAGTAGAAATATGAGATTTCATGACCTGAAAATAGCGGGCTTTGGCGTTAAACAAAACCTTTTTACAATGGTTTCTAGCAGTAATAAACAGACGATGTGGGCCTTAATGTCTGCAGAGTCACTAACACTAGAAACATGCCATTCAGTGTGATAAGCATTAAAGTCACCAACAACAACAATATTGGTTGATGGATAAAGAGAGAGGGCTTGGTCATTTTGATCAGAAATAACATCCACAACAATGTAGTCTTGAGTGAAGTGGTGCTAAGCGAAAGCACATAAAAGAATAATCTGTGGATTCAAACCTAATTTCCCGATAAATGGGTGAATTCTCATGAATTTAATTTCCCAAGATAAGTATGTGACAATTAGAGTTTTATGAATTAAAGAAAGATAACCATCAACACGAAGATCACAAGATGAGACAGCCGAACTCAAATTAGTCTCACAAAGACCAAGTAGGTCTGGTGAACTTTGCAAGAGATAAGACTCAACAGAAAAAAAGTTACTTCAAGGACCACAAATATTAGTGAATGATAGGTTTCGAGAATTTGGCAATGACGATGGTTTTTTGTTTTTGTAGTTTTTGGTACTTTATTCATTTTTAAATTTGTTAAAGAACTTTACTCAAAGCATAGACAGTACTCAGTTCACTATTTAATAGCCCAAGCTATTGCCTCATTACTATTAATAAACCCTAAACCATAACAAAGGGCTCCAAATGTGACCTCGACAATGCACACCAAAAAGTGTGAGTAAAAAAGTACAAAAAGGGACAACACACATGTGCAACATGGCACTGTTAATACTTTGATATTTTGCAACTGTTGATGGAATCAGCCTCTCTGAGAGCTACCACAGAGTTCTAAAAGCCTGACTACCAGCCAACTTCAGAATCATAAAACTAAATTTTTGAGTTTTACCCTCATTACGATATAATAAAATGAGTTACCTAGTCATAGAAACAGAGACAAAACCATGCATTGAGTCAAGAAGATTCAGCATTCAACATCCTAAACTGGAAACAATGTATT